CCGCCTGGGCCCCGTCGCCTTCGCCCGGCCGCACCCCACAGCGGAGGGCGGCAGACGCGGGTCAGCGAGAAGCTGACTGAGAAGGCGGCCAGCGAAGAGGGGCGCCAGGCGCTGGGCCTGCGGGTGGCCCCACGGCGAGTCAGGGCTCCAGCCACCTCAGCCCGCCCCCAAGCCGCGGCTGGCCAGTCAGCTGCGCCGCCCACCGCAGCCGCAGGCCTTCACTGGAGCGGAGAGCTGCCCGGCGGCGGGCGGAGCCGCGGCCCTGATGCCCACTCAGAATGCCCCCGCCTCCCCTGCAAACCGCCTGCACCGATGGAGCATGGACTGCCCGCCAGGGCTGGCGCGGTGCTCTTTCCGATAAAATGTTGCAAATAGCATTTCCGGATCTTCGCTGTGCTTAAGAACTCTCATGACCTTTCATGGAGGGGCCTGAGATCAAGCGTGTGCACTTAAATTAAATTTTGTGCAAAATGTTGGGTTTTCCACCTTGCTTTTAAAAATTCCCTCTTGAGAATAACCGGTATCCCCCCCCCCCGAGATTCTTACAAAATCCCATTATACTTTAAAGTCTTTGAGCCATCTGGATTTTATTTTGGGGTGAGGAGTTGGGAGGGGCCCAGCTACCCAGTTTCCAAGTGTCTGGCCGTCATCCCCACTGACCCAAGACGTCGTCATCGTCGTCATCGTCGTCATCGCGCACTCGGCGCCTGACACGCTGGGTCCGTTTCTGGTGTCCACCCTCCTCGCTCGCTGGCCGGCTGGCCAGCACCACCCTTTCTGTCCCAGGGTTGCTGCTCAGCCTCATCGAATTCTCACATGGGCTTTAAGAGCAGTTCAGTTTCAAACGAGGTGCTGCTAGCTTGCTCCGATCCCTGCCCCATGAGGTCAGTCCCGGCACAGTGGACTCAACACGACGTTGAATCCTCCGGCCCAGAGCACGGCAGCCCCAGCACCTTGGCAGGTGGGGACGCGGCCCCCGCCTCGCCCCCCCCTCAGGCCCCTCCAGCAAGCTCGCTGCCTCAGCACGCGCTTGACCAGGGCAGCGAGCACCCGCTGTGTCCGCTCTGATGGTGCAGCGATGCCGCTGTGTCCCTGTCCCTTCAGGACGCCTCCCCGAGGCTGGCAGTCACTGCCTGTCCGCTCTTTGGTGGCGTGGTGCCTGCCCAGCGCCGCCCGCTGCCCCGCCGCTGAGTTGGTCCCCTGCAAGAGGAGCTGGCTGAGTCCCGGCAAGCGCGGTGTGTGCTGAGAGCTCCCAGGCGTGGACAGGGGCCAGCGATCGGGGCGGGAGGGCAGCCAGCGTGGGCATCGCCACCACACCAGGTCCACAGGCTCCGGCGTGGGCCCGGGCACCGCGCAGGGAGGCAGGGGAGGTCGGGAGTCCGGGGACCCCACGGCCTCACCGCAGCCGGTGGTGCCCTCCTGCCCCGTGGGCTGGCGCGTGTCACCGGTGGTGTGAGCGCCGCTGCGTGGCCCC